TAAATAGTGTAAATAATGATAACACCCTCATCCCAGAAATTCAGTGATAACAACAACAAAGATGAGGACAATAGTCTGAATGTAAATAGTGTAAATAATGATAACTCTCATCCCAGAAATTCAGTGATAACAACAACAAAAATGAGGACAATAGTCTGAATGTAAATAGTGTAAATAATGATAACTCCTCATCCCAGAAATTCAGTAATAACAACAACAAAAATGAGGACAATAGTCTGAATGTAAATAGTGTAAATAATGATAACTCCTCATCCAAGAAATTCAGTGATAACAACAACAAAAATGAGGACAATAGTCTGAATGTAAATAGTGTAAATAATGATAACTCCTCATCCCAGAAATTCAGTGATAACAACAACAAAGATGATGACAATAGTCTGAATGTAAATAGTGTAAATAATGATAACTCCTCATCCCAGAAATTCAGTGATATCAACAACAAAGATGAGGACAATAGTCTGAATGTAAATAGTGTAAATAATGATAACACCCCTCATCCCAGAAATTCAGTGATAACAACAACAAAAATGAGGACAATAGTCTGAATGTAAATAGTGTAAATAATGATAACTCCTCATCCCAGAAATTCAGTGATAACAACAACAAAAATGAGGACAATAGTCTGAATGTAAATAGTGTAAATAATGATAACTCCTCATCCCAGAAATTCAGTAATAACAACAACAAAGATGATGACAATAGTCTGAATGTAAATAGTGTAAATAATGATAACTCCTCATCCCAGAAATTCAGTGATATCAACAACAAAGATGAGGACAATAGTCTGAATGTAAATAGTGTAAATAATGATAACTCCTCATCCCAGAAATTCAGTGATAACAACAACAAAGATGAGGACAATAGTCTGAATGTAAATAGTGTAAATAATGATAACACCCCTCATCCCAGAAATTCAGTGATAACAACAACAAAGATGAGGACAATAGTCTGAATGTAAATAGTGTAAATAATGATAACTCCTCATCCCAGAAATTCAGTGATAACAACAACAAAGATGAGGACAATAGTCTGAATGTAAATAGTGTAAATAATGATAACTCCCCTCATCCCAGAAATTCAGACAGAAAAT